ATAAAATTTTAAGATAATTTGATGAAATTTGTAAACAAAATACATTTGAATATTAAATATACCAAATAAACTTTTTTATAGTCCTCATTATTGTGACTTTATTATTGGGTGTCTTTTATCTGATTTTCCCATACATTCTTAAATGCATATGACAATTCCAGACTTAAAAGTTGCAATAATTAGTAAAAGTATAGTTTTTGACTGACTCTTTGAAGTCAGAACATAATGTGACTTGTTCAAGTCAGTTTGCACAACAGGATTTACCTCAATGAAATATTAAGATATCAAATATATACCAAATAAACTTTTATATAGTTCTAAAAATTGTGACTTAATATTTGTGATCTTTTTTCCTACTTGTATCCATACATTCTAACAATCACATCACAATCATGACAATGCCCGACTGCTACAGTTGCAATCCATTTAGTGTTTGACAGACTCTTATAAGTCAGAACATGATTTGACCTGCTTGAGTCAGTTTACAGAACAAAATTTCCAATCAAAGCTAGGTGTTCTTCCTCTAAGCCCCCCTCCTAAATATGAATCTGCTACTGTTGAGTTAATTAATTGATAAGTTTTTTTAGAAACAATTCAGCCAAATGGTTATTAAAATATTATTTTTTTTGGCAACCACAAGTTCTATGTGTAAACTTAACAGAAAAGAAAAGTCATGAAAATACAGAAATAAAATAAAATTTTAAGATAATTTGATGAAAATCTTTAAAAACAAAATGCATTTGATATTGAATATACCAAATAAACTTTTTTATAGTCCTCATTATTGTGACGTAAGGGGACCTTATTTCATCTAGCTTTTATCTGGCTTTCCCATTAATTTTAAAATCAATATGAAAATCCTAGACTTAAAAGTTGAAATAAGTTTAGTTTTGTTTGACTCTTTGAAGTCAGAACATGATTTGACCTGTTAAAGTCAGTTTACAGAACAAAATTTCCAATCAAAACTAGGTCTTCTTCCTCTAAGCCCCCCTTTTTTCCCATTATCTGAATCTGCTACTGTTGAGTTAATTAATCATGTTAATTGATAAGTTTTTTTAGAAACAATTCAGTCAATGGTCTTTTAAATAATATTTTTTACAACCAAAAGTTCCATGTGTTAACTTAACAGAAAAGAAAAAGTCATGAAAATACAGAAATAGAATAAAATTTTAAGATAATTTGATGAAACTTGTAAACAAAATACATTTGAATATTACATATACCAAACAAACTTTTTTATAGTCCTCATTATTGTGACTTTATTATTGGGTGTCTTTTATCTGTTTTTCCCATACATTCTTAAATGCATATGACAATGCCAGACTTAGAAGTTGCAATAATTAGTTAAAGTATAGTTTTTGACTGACTCTTTGAAGTCAGAACATAATTTGACCTGTTTAAAACAAAATACAATTAAATATTGAATATACCAAATAAACTTTTTTATATAATCCTCATTATTGTGACTTTAGGGGACCTTATTTCCTCTGTTTTTTATCTGGCTCTCCCATACATTTTTAAATCAATATGACAATACTAGACTTAAAAGTTGTAATAAGTTTAGTTTTGACTGACTCTTTGAGGTCAGAACATGATTTGACCTGTTAAAGTCAGTTTACAGAACAAAATTTCCAATCAAAGCTAGGTGTACTTCCTTTATTCCAAGAAAGTCCTTGCTTTCAGAATGCTTCTGAATCTGCCATTTTCGAGTTTATTATTTGATAATTTTTTAGAAACAATTAAGTCAAATGGTTATTTATTTTAGGGGATCTTAACATATATTTCCTGTGTCTTTTATCTGACGTTCCCATACATTCATTTAATATCATATGGCAATGCCTGGCTTAAATATTTCAATAAATATATTTTAATTTTGGACTGACTCTTTTAAGTCAGAACATGATTTGACCTGTTTAAAACAAAATACATTTAATATTGAATATACCAAATAAACTTTTTTATAGTCCTCATTATTGTGACTTATGGCGACCTAATTTCCTCAGTCTTTTATCTGGCTTACCTATACATTTTTAAATCAATATGACAATACTAGACTTAAAAGTTGTAATACGTTTAGTAAGTCAGAACATAATGTGACTTGTTTGAGTCAGTTTGCACAACAGTATTTACCTCAATAAAATATTAAAATAATAAATGTTTTGCTCTTAATACATTTAGCTTAAAGTGGATGAGAATATATCTTTTATTAACATAGTCTTATCATGAATAAGTGTCTTGTTTTTCCTTGGAAGATTTGAAGTATTGTCATGGTACTAGTAAATGTATCCAATATTGTAATTTGTAAATCTTTTGATAATCAGAAAATTGTATGATCCATTTTTTCTCACCTGGTTTTTCTTTGTATTTTGAAATAATTGAAAGTGATGAGATAAATATATTATGTTTAGAATCAGGAAAGGAGAAGGTATGATGTCAGATGAGCCCCACTTTTTAAAACTCTTTAATTCGAAACTAGTAATCACCATATTTTTATGGAGATTGATAACAAAGTGGTAGTAATGACTGCTTCAAATCAGAACAAAAATGACCTCTCGAAGTCAAAATGCATTAAAAAGGGGCATAAATCTTATTAGAATATGAAGATATTAAGTCACAATATTTTGTGCAAAAGCTGACCTGTGGAAGTCATTTTATGATAAATTAAAGTCTGACATAAACTGACCTGTACAAGTCATATTCTGTTGAGTGCAAGAAGGGAGACAACACTTACATCAAATTATATCTGACCTATGGAAGTCATTTTATTCTGACTTGTTTATGTCAGAGCTCTGACTGTCTAATTAATTTAGTCAAAAAGATTTAAATTATTAGAAATACGTTTACAAATACGATTTGATGAAAAAATTAAAAAGGTAAAAATGAAAACCACGTTGTTTGAACCAGAGACATGTCTCTGTTTGAACTAGTACACGTGTGCGCATGTGCGCAGGTGTGAAAATTAATTATGCATCCTAATTTCTTCAAAAAATGCTTAAATTGTCATTGATACCTTTATCTCAGGTTTATTTCGAATATTTTCTTGAAGAAATAACGTAGAAAGAGCTATGTACACTCATTCATGCTTTGCAAACGTACACGGAATTTACGTATCCGTCTCTGGTCCATGTTTTACCATTGTCAAGATTATATCCGGTATAAGATTTTAACGAATGTAAAGTTTTTGACAACGTTATTTTGCACAAATAAAGAGTCTAAGGCAGATATAAGTACGCTGATGTTGCACACTTCGAATGATGCACTGCCAATTTAACAGTTTACGTCAGAACTTCGAATTTGAATCAAAGAAAGTTTAATATCGTTTTTCTTTTAATGTCAATCATTGGGATGGGATGGCCAACTCAGCAACTGAATACCATAATTGCCTTTTGTTTATTTAGTCTTAAGGGATTAAAATCGGGATAATATATAAAATGTCCGGCTGGCTAAAAATAATTTTGGAAGCCCTGTCCAGGGAAACCCCAAATTTTCGTCAGATCAAAATCTTATGTAAGAGGGGCACTATGGCATCTAGTCCTAGATTCTTCTGACATTCCCAGGCCTTTTTATAGATTGGCTTGGGCCGTGGGACGTCAAGAGTGCATTCCATATCAAAAACTGGGAATTGCTTGCCCCCGTTTTTTATATGGAGTGCGCTCTGACATCCCACAGCCCCAGCCAATCTATAAAAAGGCTGTGGAACGTCAGAGGAATCTTGGACTATATGGCATTATGTAATAAAGACGATCTGAAAGTTTCAGATGTTTAGATTAGAAGGAGTTGCTAATGGCATCCTGGTACCCCCTTATAACAGTAAATGGCAAACTCCATGTTTTGCTATGGGAAACCCCAAGAAATTGGTCTTATCAAATTCTAAAATAGAAGGTGCACAATGCCATTATGGGATAAAGATTCTCTGAAAGTTTCCTCAAATTCCATTTAGTAGTTTAGGAGGAGTTGCGGATACAAAGGTCAGATGAACAGACAGACACAACGAATACTCTATACCCCACTTTTTCCAAAAGCAGGGGTATAAAAAATGAATATACCGTATAGCGGGTTATTTTCGCGGGGTGTTTATTTTCACTTATTTTGGCGGGTCAGGAGAAATCGCTAAAATTAATTCCGTGAAATTTTATGCATATGTTCGATACTTTCTAATAGCTAAAGCGTTTGTAAACTATCCTTTTTTCCGTTCGACTGATTTAAAATAACGGTTTATGTTCATTTAAACAACAAAGGCCATTGTTAGCTGGCTGTTAGGTGTTACTTAATTTATTGGTTACATAATAAAAATAAATCATAATCAAGGTACGCTGTCAGGTATTTTATCATTATGAATTAGTGTCATATTATATAAGAGTTGCAAGTCACTCATGATAATTTTATAATCTGATTAGTACATCAAAGGTCCGGTCAATTTCGTAACTAATCAACCTTAACATTTACACCTGTAACAAATAACTATGTACCGGTATTCTATTGTTTAACTGTATCAAAATATAATCAATAAATAAAACAATCATTTAACCATAAAAATGGACACTTGTTTGTCAATTTTTACAATTTGTTAACTGCAATCATTACAGTCTCCGCCAAAATATTTAATTGGAAATAAAGAATCCACCAAAATAAAAACCACCAAAATTTTTCGTATACCTTGTTGCCCTAAAATCACGAAATTTTACACCCGCGAAAATTACCCGCTATACGGTATATATAGTTTTTATTTAGATATTTTGAATGAAAGGCCTTCATTTGGTCATATCGCTGCTATTTTGGATTGGGCGCTAAGAAGTAAATTCCTGCTGAAATAGTTTTACAAATAATGTGTCTAATGAAGGTCAAACCAAAACACACTGTTAAATTTAGATTTTGAAATTTTAGACGCTTTTTTGTGAAAGAGTTTCAGATGTGGATTGTTGTCATTCAGGCATAAAGTCCATATTCTTTTTTAAAAATATGTATGCATAAGCATTGTTTACCTCTAAATAATACTTTACCTATAGATGTATCCCCATAGACAAGGTCTGCTTTACATGCAGGACATTTCTTTAAATCAACAGGTGCACATCTACCATCAATCACATATTTTCCAGTTGGTGCAAGTTGTGAGAACAAGTGATGGGCAAGGATAGCTTGAATCTCTGCTTCACTCTTTGCTTCTTTAACCTTTCCTAAATGCTTGCTGTTACACTCTATAAATTTTGATAATACATAAATGATAATCATTGATAATAGTAATACATACTGTATCCTTTTTTTAATGTAGAATTTTAACCATCTGCTATAAACAAAGCTCACTATAAATATGATAAACTAATAATAAATTTTGTTTCACCATTCATATACCAGCATACATTTTTACCTCATTCTAAACTTAATAAAGAGCTACGCCTAACGCAGCACTATATACGACTGCAGAGGTCCATCAAGTCAAGCAAACATGGACACAATAATGTACTGAACACAATAATGTTGTAGACACAATAATGTGAAAGTATTATTTTTCGTGGGGTAACAATTTTTGTGGATTTCATGGTTAAACACAACCATGAAATCCGATTGTAACCCAAGTGCAACGAACAGCACTTTTTCCCATTGAATTAGCATGTGTAAACTTTGGAACCACAAATTTAAATACCCACGAACCTTTGAATTTTCTACAAAATTTAATACCCACGAATAAAAGTTCTTTCACTGTAATACGCTTGACACAGTAATGTGCAGGACACAGTAATAAAAAAAACATTTCTATAACCAATTAAGATAATGCCATTTTGACCCCATTTAACTCCTTTGGTTTAACATATTTCATTGCTCAATACATCAGCAATATAGGATTGGGCACAAGTTATTACAACTTAAGTGTTGGCCTCTCCTTACAATTTACAGCACACAGATAAAAGCAATTATGAGACATACAACTTATAAACATTTCACAATTAGCACAAAAATAAAGCAAACTAGATATCATTGAGATGGGAGCCATCTCTGTGGGCCCCGCTGTGAATAATAAGTGGTAAAAAATTTGTGTATCTTTATCACTGGACATAGGGTTGTCAACTGAAACCAAAGTTTTTTACCTTGACCTTTGACCTAGGAAGTTGAACAAAAATTATGACACACCCCGGGGCCCTCTGCTGTTGGTTTATATACATGTCAAGTATAAATTTTGAAATCAGAACGGTTCTCAAGATATAGAGCGGACACTATCTTTACCATAGGACATGGGGTTGTCAACTAAAACCAAAGTTTTTGACCTTGACCTTTGACCTAGGAAGTTGTACATACATTATGACACACCCTCTGGTGTTGGTTAATATACATGTCAAGTATAAACTTTGAAATCATAATGGTTCTCTAGATATAGAGCGGACACAATTTGTTATGGATGGATGGACGGACGGACGGACAGACGGATGGACAGACGGACGGACAGATGGATCGACAGACTGATCACTATAGGGCGTCCACAATTTGGCGGGGCCCTAATAAAAACTTGCTAGTGTCAACCAGTTTTTCTAAAAACGATGTGAATTATTAATGAACACATGTATACGGCTCTAAAAATGTCTATATTTTGTTCATAAGATAAGTTTACATTTCAAATCATATAAGATTGATATCAATTTGACCATGAATGCGAATTACAGTTCCTGTCTTATATTGTCATACAATGGACGATGTACATTTTTTGCATTTAAAACCACAGGAGCAACTACGATTGTCAATTATATAAAATCAATAAAGATCATAATTCAAACTGCTTTACATGCTATACATGTCATTATACCAAAGTTTAGTATGAATGATGTTAGATTTTCGAGATCCAAATAAATACCAAGGAGGAACTATAGTTTTTACAGTAAGAATTTTCTTAAAAACTGTTTGAAATAGGATAATTATGTATCTCAACTTTGAATGAGTTCCAATGCCTTACTGTCAATGGAAATAATGAGTTAGTGAGTGATGGAGGTTTAAGTGATTGAGTGAGTGATGGTGGCTTAACGTCCAGCGGCAAATTTATATGCATATTCAGGACGAGAGCAAGTTAATGAATAATAAATGAACCTGCTTTGTACTAGACCGACACAGATTTTTTACATGCTAGCTCACAAGGTAGCAGTCCGCAGAAGACATACCACCTTACCCAGACACATTATTCTGACTCCGAACCAACCAGTCTTTGTTCTTACTCTTTAATGCCGTGTGCTTGGCAGGGAAGCAGCAAATACCAATTTTAAAGTCTTTGGTTTGACCCAGCCAGGGATCGAACCCACGACCTTCTGCATGAAATGTAGGTCAAACTAACCAATTAAGGGTTAGATGCTGACAGTCTCCCAAAGATACATTTGTACATTTACACAATAAGCAACATGATCCTAGGCCACATACACATGTAGTTTCTGAGAAATTAACTCGGACCTAAAACTTAACCAAAGTCAACCAAGCATGAAATGTAGGTCAAACCAACATATTAAGGGTTAGAAGCTGACAGTCTCCCATAGATACATTTACACAATAAGCAGCATGATCCTAGGCCACATAGTTTCTGAGAAATTAACTCGGACATTGAACTTAACCAACATGACCAAAGTCAACAATAAAATTGAGAATGGAAATGGGGAATATGTCAAAGAGACAACAACCCGACCATAGAGCAGACAACAGCCGAAAGACACCAATGGGTCTTCAATGGACCAAGAAAATCCCGCACCCGGAGGTGGTCCTCAGCTGGCCCCTAAATAAAATTGTGTGCTAGTTCAATGAAAATGGACGTCACACTAAACTCCAAAACATATAAATGGACTAAAATTAATTAAAACATACAAGACTAACAAAGGCCAGAGGCTCCTGACTTGGGACAGGCGCAAAAATGCAGCGGAGTTAAACATGTTTTGTGAGATCTCAACCCTCCCCTATACCTCTAGTCATAACCTTACTAAAGCCATTCAACCATGAAATATGTGTCATGTGACCTAAAAATTTTTTTTATACTAATTTCTTATTTATTCTTTATTTAATTTCTTTATTAAGGTAGTTTGGGGGTATTCTGCCATCTTGGATTATGAAATTGCAGACCCCTGTGGGTGTAGTTATTTAATGGAATATGCATATTTATAACATGTACATGTATAATGGGGATGTCAATTAATGTGTTAAACTTTTCATATATAAATGTAAATAAACTATTATCACAGAGATATGTCCTTCCTTTTTGTAATTTCGATAATGCAAATGTTGAAATTAAAAAAGCAATACTTTAACATGTAAGTTATGCAAATATTCAAAGTCAATGAAGCATGACTGAAGGTACATGGCTAAACAATCTCCATGGAAATGAGATGTGCCAATGCTAATACAACTGCATACCAAATACCATTGACTTATCATAAGTTGTCCCCTTTAAATAAACCTAAACACAAACATTAACTTGTAAACTATGTAAAAGTTTCAAAGTCAATGAACCATGATAAGGGGTTGAGGCTACATGTATATAATCTCCATGGAAACGAGACTTGCAAATGCATACCAAATATATCATTGACTTAACATAAGTGGTTCATCTTAAACTGATCTAATCACATACTAAAACATGTAAACTAAGCAAAAGTTTCAAAGTCAATATACCATGACTGAGGGGGCGGGGCCAAATATTCTCCATGGAAATGAGATATGCTTATGCTTGTACAACTGCATACCAAATAACATTGGACTACCACTAATGGTTCCCCTTAAACTGGCCTAATCACAAACTAATACATGTAAACTAAGCAAAAGTTTCAAAGTCAATAGACCATAACTGAGGGGGCGGGGCCAAATAATCTCCATGGAAATGAGATATGTCAATACTTATACAACTGCATACCAAATATCATTGACCTACCACTAGTGCCAGTAGTGGTTCCCCATAAACTGACCTAATCACAAACTAATACATGTAAACTAAGCATAAGTTTCAAAGTCAATAAACCATGACTGAGGGGACAGGGCCAAATTATCTCCATGGAAATGAGATGTGCCAATGCTAATACAACTGCATACCAAATATCCTTTATCTACCACTAGTGGTTCACCACAAACTAGACCTAATCACAAACTAATACATTGTTGCCACCGCCGCCGGAAACAGCATACCTACATGTATGTCTCGCTTTTTGACTTCATCAAGGCGAGACAAAAATTGATTATTACATTGTCTTATTAAGACCAGTTTCATAATCAAAGAGCTGATAGCTCTGAGGTGGAAGAAACCGCATAAAAGGTAACTTGAATTTCCATGAAAGCAGCCCACACCAACCCAGTCTGTTCTGACTTCTGTCCCATTATTGCTTCCGACATATTTTTTTCTTCCAAAAATAATATTCTTTAATAATACTATAGTCTCAACCAAAACTGACAATACTAAACATAATAAAATGCTTCGCTGAGCGCAGCCTGATATGACCTCAGAGGTTGAACCCTGAACAGTTGGGGCAAGTTTGGACACAATATTCAAGCTAGATACTGTCTGAATTAAGATTGTCACCAAATTTTTGACATAATATAGGTTTCTGACACAAAATTAATGTGGTCAAAGATCTGAAAAATATATTGCCCAATACTGTGCAATTAAATATTTCTTCTTGAAACTTTTCAAAAAATTTTAAATTTGAAAAAATTTGAATAAAAAAATATGAACCCCTCAAAAATTTGAAAAAAAAATCCCCCCCTGGGAGTAATAACCCCCAAACTCAATCCCAGCCTTCCCTTTGTGGTATGGAACTTAGTACTGCAGTTTTAGAGAGATCCATACACTTAAACATAAGTTATTGTCTGGAAACTAGAAAAATGCTTGTTTTGGCCCCTTTTTACAGGGATAAACAGGTAGATATTAAAACATTAAAACATGAGAAATTATTGGTTCCGTACTCGAGGGTCTTAATGGAGATACCTTCATGACGAATAAGTGTAAAAAGCTGGACTACTTATATGTTAAATCCTGTTTTAGAACTTTGAAACGTAAGGCAATAAAGTTAATCATTGGGGACATTCCGACAATGATTGACATCAAAACTACGTACTTTCGATATGGATTCCGTCAACTAACATCAGTTCGTACATGTACATTGATATTTCTGTCATCTGACGGTGCATCGTTTGAAGCTTAAAGCACCAGCAGATTTACATGTACTTTTGACTCTTTATTATCGGATTAACATACTGAGATATTCTTACTTTCATTTTAA